GATTATACTCATGTAAAGAAAGTGAAAGAGAACAGAAGGGTTTGGTTGAACAGTCTATCTTTTGCTTCTAAACAGTGATTTGTTAGATCGCTTATAAAGTAGCTTTAGTTAAAGAGATTGTTCACTACCTTCTCAGGTTGTTAACTCAACAACACCACTGTTCATAATTACCAAATTTAAAACTTTGTTGAAACTACTGTTTTGGTATGCTTAGTCCTCAGAATGATTAAGCCAGTAGTCTTTATTACAACAAATTTCAAACGTTATAAAGGTTTTCAAACCTAACAAAATTTTGGTAATTTCTGAGAAGGAAAGTGATGTCTGATTTAAATGCTACACATTATGATCAGAAATAACTAATTGCCAAACTAAAACACTTAAGTTTGTAATCTGATTTTAAGTTTTCAAAAACCATACTTTACCAAACTGCTTGTTTTTGATAATTAACATCAATTTAAAAAGGATACAACTGTTTTTTTTGCACTAATTTCACTTGTCGTTACTGATTTTATCAGAAATTTCTGTATCTGCTTATCAGTTTATCTTATTTGCCGTACAACAATAAATTTTTTTACTGAATATCGATCTTTTTTTTTTTTGCATTTTGCAAAGGACTTCTTTATGTTCTCTTTTTTCACATCATTTTTTCACTCTGCTCTGTACTTGAGTAATTTTATTCTTCTACTTCTTGATTCAAGAAATTACGAGCATGAAAGACTCCTAAAGTACTGTTTTGCCGTTCTTTGTTCTCCTGTGACTAAGAAGAACACTAAAAATAGTATCAATTTTCAAAGTAGAGCACTCGTAACAACTGGTTGCAGCTGTTATCTGTTTCATCAACACTTGCTTCTGCACCTTCTGTAATTATCGACTACTTTCAGCTGTACACTATACCAATTAAAGAACAAGAAAGAAAATTAATGCAAAAATATAAAAAATTAGAAAGGTAAAGTGCAACAAGTCTTCTCGTCTTTTTTTCTTCTGCAGTTCTCAATTAAAAAAATCAGTAAAATGATAACAAACAAATAAAAAAGCTTCTATTTCTAGGCTAAGTGTAAAGTAGTAAGAACTAAAATACTTTAGATAGTTCGAAATCTTTCACTACCCACAGTTTCAATTTTAACAGTCAAAAGAAGTTATTGTCAAGTATAACAAAATTTCTTCAGTTATCAGTTTCAAATAGTTTTGCTCAATACGTGCAGTTAACAGTGCAGATTTATTTGGTACACCAACAGCAAGAAGTAGAAATTTTTATCAAATGAATAAACTTTAACAAAATTTAAATCCGAAAATTTTAATGTTGTTTAAAATTTTGAATAATCATTTAACTTCAAAGCCGTAGACGTTCTCAGTATATAAAGCAACGTACTAAAAGGCAGCTTAGTTCTTGAGACGTTTTACCGCTTACCCGTTGTTTACTCTAACAGTTAGTCAGCAAGCTAACAACGATGGGTCATCATCATTTACTTAATCAAACTTTTTTTTTATTCTTTCTTTGGTTTAGCCTGGTCACATCTGTTGCCCGCTACCAGTCTACCGTTTGTTCTCAAGCATTACTTCCTGGTTTTGTTTTTTTTTAGTTCATATCTGTTCTATTTTTGTCACTGTTGTTGTATAATACAAAAACTTTTTGAATTTCTTCCGCGTCATACTAGTCAACAGAATAAGGCAGCGAAATAGTCAAAGTGGAGAGGTTAAGCAGAGAAC